GTAACATACGCGAAGCCTTTCCAGTCAGCTTTGGAAAAGTTGATATAGGTCCGGTGATCCACGGAAGCAAAGTCGGCAGGTTTATCAATCGAGATGACTCTGGACAGATGGTCTGATGCTAGGGTCAGCATAGGTCACCATGATACGCTGTTTATCAGACCAGCGCTGACAATTGTTAGATCTGGCGAGCTGCAGCAGCTGCCCATAATCCTGGTGGGTGCGTCGTCGTTCATTGTGCAGAATGTCGAATCGTCTATCTGCTCAGGCAGATGTATTTCCCTACGATCATTTGACAGGGTTGAGTGCCAAAGATCGTGGTGCGCGTTAAAGTCACCAACTACCATACGGTTTTCACCTCTGAGTAGCGCACCTATTTCAGGGTGTTATCCTGCCGGGCAGCTGGTGACAGGGGGTATGTATACGTTAAATATTTCGAGCTCAACATCGCCTGACTGGATAGCAATACCCTGACAATCTAGGATAGTATCCTTGTGGTCGATGTCTGCTTCAATAAGACGATACTTCACGGTGTGGTGCGTGATGAACGCTAAACCTCCACCATTGTCTCGCTCGCGATCTCGACGCTGCACTTTGTATCCGGCGCAATACAACAAGGATGAATTGCCGTGCAACTTCGTCTCTTGGACCGCATCTATTAATATTCCATGCCCTCCCGTAAAGACAGTTATCTCCTCGATCTTACTCTGGAGTCCGTTACAGTTAAATTGTAGCACCTTTGTGTGCCTTGGGAGACCAATTGCTATGTGTAGAGTTAAGGAGTTGTGTTGCCTGCCGGCTCCCTGCTGTATGTGCTGCAAAATGGGGTGCTGCCTTGTGGTGGTGGTTGCCGGTGTCGCGGCGGAGGTATGCGACTGGGCAGCACATCAGGGGCCCACATAGTCACTCGTTCAATCTCGCGTGTTGCGAAGTCCTGAGCATGCCCTAAAGAGACACCAGCCAAGGCAGGAGTTGCACTTGACTGATGTCACGTTACGGTATATTCTGGACTGACAACCAGAGCAGATTGTCGGAGGGACTAGGAGATGCCGGCGGAGGTGTGTGGGTGCTATTGTGTTCGTTTGCGGCACTGGACCTGACCGAGGTGGAGTTTGTATGCAGTCGTCTCTGGCATACGCAGCAGATGTATATTTCTGGCCCTGGGTTTGACTTTCTGCCAGCCCTGAGCAGAAGAATACGGAGCACATGTAGCCCCATTATCGAACAACGTTGGATTGATTTCGCCGACCTAAACGGCGTTAGATCGCCGAAACAACAGCCCTTGGTCGGGTAAAACCCGACTCGCTCCGGTACGTAGAACCGGCTGTCGTGGGAATGAAGCGTGCAGCCTCGATAGCTCGGTCCACAGGGACAAAGGCGTTAGGGTTGTCGGGTTTTCCGGGCATACGAAGAGATGTTTCGAGTCATGAGGTGTCACTCCGCATGCCGAACCCTCATTTGCTACATCTGCGTTCAGTCTGCTCAGGTTGGTAGTGGTTGTGCGCCTAGAACGGCAGTCACAGGTCTAGAGTCTACATAACTCGAGACTGACTCCCTGTGAATGCCGCTCAGGGCCTGTCGATAAGCTGACGGGTCCAGAGGTTGTTTAATGAACCTCTGGCCTTCGTCCGTCAGTTCGTAGATATGCCTCCTGACGTGCCTGGGCGAGGGCTCTTCTGCAAGCAGCTGCCCATTTGGGTGACCACGTCTATGGCTCCCAACAAGGAACTGCTTGCAGTGCATTGTATTAAGCTCCTTGATCGGGAGTAATTTTGACTCTTCGTGTAGGTGGTGTTCAGGCGACATCAGAAGGCATCCAGTCGCTGTCCGTAGCGCGGTGTTTTGCGTCGTCTGCAGCTTCATCCACTGCGTCCTACTAGTCCTCGGCGACCACACTGGTGCTGCGTAATTTAAAAAGTATTCGATAATCCAATAATAGTCGTTTATCTACTACTAGGCGACACTCGCAATAGTGGTGTCGGTCTCAAGTTACATGGGCTCCCGTCCTGTGAATGCATACAATGCAATGTTTTGGGCATACAACCACCTGACGTGGACGACGCAGACACCCCTATTCTGCAACTCTTTCGTATTCGGATTTTGCTACGCATCGTAGAAATAGTGTGCTGTAATCCGAATCGTATTTTTGAACTTTCGAAATTCGTAACAATGGCATGCTTACAAACGAACGAGTGAGCTTTTTTGCGCAATTTTGTACGAAAACAAGTCTGTGTCGGAGGCGAAATAAACGATGTAAAACGATGTGTGTTTGCAAGAAATATTGTTGGTGTTCATTTAAACAGATAAATTTACCTTTCGCATATACGTATATTTTTATCCACTGCTTTAATAAACGACCAAAAAAGAATCTTTGTTGCTTGGGTCCGGTTTAGTTATTTTTACAATGATTTTCGGTTGTTGTGTCCAAACGCATAGACCGAATCCAAAAACTTTAAGATACATGTGTAATTAAAGGATTCACATTTTATTTAAGATATATAAATGTTTCGAATTTTCTACCACTAGCTTATTAATAAACTCGGTTTGCACTATGCACTTTTTTGCAAATTTCGACGTGGGTTCTGCGCAAAAATACTGTGGACGGCGTAGCCGGAGTGATATGCACAAGAAATGTTGTATACCTTTGACATGCGGAAGCCCCTTTTCTCCGGCATCACAGAAAGGAGAATTCTACTTAGTAAGGGTTATAATCCCTAAGCGCGGCCGAAGGCAGAAGCAAGCGCAACAGGTGGTGGACCTAACAAAGTGCATGTTTTCAATGGCTTGGAAGAAGCTTTTATTGCATTAACTGGATTGAGAACCAGGGCTTCAGCAGGAGTTCTGGCTTTGGTTCTACAATTCAACCAGAAGCNTTCGTATTCGGATTTTGCTACGCATCGTAGAAATAGTGTGCTGTAATCCGAATCGTATTTTTGAACTTTCGAAATTCGTAACAATGGCATGCTTACAAACGAACGAGTGAGCTTTTTTGCGCAATTTTGTACGAAAACAAGTCTGTGTCGGAGGCGAAATAAACGATGTAAAACGATGTGTGTTTGCAAGAAATATTGTTGGTGTTCATTTAAACAGATAAATTTACCTTTCGCATATACGTATATTTTTATCCACTGCTTTAATAAACGACCAAAAAAGAATCTTTGTTGCTTGGGTCCGGTTTAGTTATTTTTACAATGATTTTCGGTTGTTGTGTCCAAACGCATAGACCGAATCCAAAAACTTTAAGATACATGTGTAATTAAAGGATTCACATTTTATTTAAGATATGNACAGATAAATTTACCTTTCGCATATACGTATATTTTTATCCACTGCTTTAATAAACGACCAAAAAAGAATCTTTGTTGCTTGGGTCCGGTTTAGTTATTTTTACAATGATTTTCGGTTGTTGTGTCCAAACGCATAGACCGAATCCAAAAACTTTAAGATACATGTGTAATTAAAGGATTCACATTTTATTTAAGATATGTAAATGTTTCGAATTTCCTACCACTAGCTTATTAATAAACTCGGTTTGCACTATGCACTTTTTTGCAAATTTCGACGTGGGTTCTGCGCAAAAATACTGTGGACGGCGTAGCCGGAGTGATATGCACAAGAAATGTTGTATACCTTTGACATGCGGAAGCCCCTTTTCTCCGGCATCACAGAAAGGAGAATTCTACTTAGTAAGGGTTATAATCCCTAAGCGCGGCCGAAGGCAGAAGCAAGCGCAACAGGTGGTGGACCTAACAAAGTGCATGTTTTCAATGGCTTGGAAGAAGCTTTTATTGCATTAACTGGATTGAGAACCAGGGCTTCAGCAGGAGTTCTGGCTTTGGTTCTACAATTCAACCAGAAGCGACATAGATGCGCTCATGGTTACTATGCCCGACAGCTCCGCATACCTTTGTGAATCCATTGCCATAGCGCCCTCTTACTCTGCTGCTATAATTGCAAATGCATCAGAATCCATAATTTTCCTCAATATATGTAAAATTAACCAATTTTACAATAAACAAGTACATGATGAGTGTTTTTTTTTTAAAATTCCTTTCCACTTTGTTTTCCTTCATTCAGCTATCTTCGAAAAACAACTGATAGCTGGCAATGCTGCAAATGTTTCCGCAAGAGTTGCAGCATGTGGATTTTTCGTTTTTCGTAGCGTAGTTACGAATTACGAATTACGAAAATTCGGGTTCTAGAATAAGGGGGAGAGCTTCGTATGCGTCGGGGGACTCGGAGCACAATAGCACAACTTCGCTCTGGTTACTGCAGCAGGTTAAACTCGTACCTGAGCAGTTTAGATGCAGATGTGCCCAAATCCGACATCTCTTCCCATGCCCACTAAACCCCACTCAACTAACGCCTCTTTGGACGGACCCTATAGACTTGCGACTCCCGTTAGTGGAGCTTGATGACGACGATTGAGGTACTAGCCGATCTGGGCGGGGTTGTTGTAGTCGCCACAATAATAATAACAACCACAAGATAAAATGTTAACGAGCCTGTCAGACGTGGCAATGCAATATATGTCCAAAAGGCTCTCAAATTGAGAAATTTCAGAAAGCAGTTGCATGAGCAGTCACACCTTGCATATAAAGTGCCTTTCGAAAGAGGTTTTTTATTTCCGAGATTGCTAGTGCAGCACGAGCAAGTGGAAATATATTTCCGAAATCGATTTGCGCTCTCTCAATTGCAGTCACATCTGGCAACTTTTATTTCTGAAACTGATTTCCGAAATGTGACAGAAATGTCTTTCTGGTTGTTCATACATCGAAGTAAAATTTCTCTTTCTCAATTTGATAACGAATGATGGAAATATTGCCAATCTGACACGCTCATTAAAACTTGTCAATATGTGGTGTGCTTATAATTATGACACGTGGTATATATTGGGTGGGGTACCATAAAGGTCACTATCTGCTTAATTGTCAGGCTGTTAATATAGCGAAGTGCTAGGCCTTTTTTTGCGTTTGTTTTGTACAAGGAGAAAATTTAGTTACTTGCGAATACTGGAATAGTTGCTGAATATTTCTTCGGAAAAAAGACCATCTGATGGATCTATTATCACACTGCTATTATCTCCATGAAATCCATTATCCAATAATGATATTAAATCTTCTGGAACATAGTTGTCTCCAGCGTCCTCAGTGTCTTCTGCTTCTTCGTCGTCTCGAGAAAGCAAATTGTTAACTGCCAAATTAACGTCCAAGTTAGTCCTCTAAAATACCAAATATGCTTATTTTTCTTTAGCATAAATATAAATACAAGAACATACCTGCAATTCTCGTATTATGAGATTTCTGCTTTTACCCTGAAGAACTACTTCCGCTTGTGATATTAATTCTTCAGGAACATAAGTTGCTGGTACAGTCACAATCGGACGGCTCGAGCCGCCACCGCCTATGATTACACCAGTGCTACGTGAGCCGGAACTCTGGCTTCCAGACCCAGATCTTCCAGTTGTGCGCATAAGTCGGGCTCTAGAACGTGCAAGTTGTCTTGACGACGATGTGGCAGCATTTTTTGAATTGTTAGAAACATTCGAGATATTGTTTGAGGGGCTGAAAATTAAAAGAAAAACAATTTAGTTAACTTTTAGTAGACTTTTGACAATACTCACTTTTTGTTGTTATCGATCCTATTTAAATCAATACGCTCTGAATTAATTGAAAAAGCTGCTCGAAATGCCTTTCCATCTTCCAAAAGTACTCCGATGTGACTTGGACCGATCACAATTTCCTTAACTGGTGTTTTAAGTTGTTCAAATACTCTCAGCGTGCCAACACCAAACCTGTTAATTTTGTCAGATACTTCTCGAAGCCTGTGGCAAATAAAATGTAAAAAAATTAAGAATTTAAGAATTCCAGGATAATTAAATGTATAAGAATTTCGCTATACCAAATTGACTATGGGACAATACTTTGAAATGTTTACTCGAGCAAAACCTCTTTTGTTTGGGACTAGAGAATGACTGGACATAAAAGTTCGGTTCGGAGTGGTTAAGCATCGGACAAAAACTGGCTAATAACGCTGTGCTCGAATCGGGAATTTTTTCTTAAACACCGATGAGTCACAATAATAATATGTGACCTGGTCTACGGAAAGGGGGCTTAGGTGTCAAAAAATCAATTTTCACTTTTTGGTTGATTCGTATGGAAGATGAGATGCTTTTTCACGTGGTGAAAAGCAGAAAATCCTAACTTGCTTAGAAGTGTACTAAAAATGTAGAGAAAGAAGAGTAAAAATACGACAAAATATAATTTATTGGTAATGAACAAAATACATTGAATTATAAGCTATAAACATGATTATACACTAGAAAAACGTATTATGGGCCAAAAATAATAATGCTGAGTAGTTTATGTATTTTTCTTTGTTGTCGTTTTCCTTGAGATCTTTTTACGTGTTGATCCTGAGGAAGATGGACCTGGTTCCTCGTCTGGTTTGAGAACATCTTCACTAGTTTTTGCCTTCCGTTTCTTCGATGGCAAATCTTTCGGCAATGGAGCCACAATATCTACTTTAGATATATCCGAAACTAAGCTGCGAATATTGTGATAGATGTACCACTGACGATGTGACTTAGTATCACTAAATCAAGTTCATTTTTCGACATCTCTAAACAATTGTTCCGCGTACTCTCGATCATTTCCCGTGGTATCAGTGTATGGCATTCATTATTACAACAATCTTTTGACAGAAATTTTGTTACCAGCTCCTCCTCCTTTACATCAACAACATACAGGTCCATCTTAACAAAAGTTTGTTCGGTATCATCTTCTGCCTGAGATACACATACTTCGTCTTCATCATCATCGCTCTCTTCATAGTTTTCATCATCGTTTTCATCATCCTTTTCATGGAAATATTGTCCGTATACGGCACTGAACTCCTCATCAACACTCATGTTTCATTTCATGCGAAATGCGAAGACGATAATCAACAGAAACAGTAAACGTCACTTCTTCAGTGTTACTTTTTTAAATGTTCCACACTAGCAACTTACACGATGAACTCTAATAATATTCCGACCAACAACAACACTTACTGGACCAACAACAACACTTACTGGACGTCCGGCGCGGAGAACAATTAACGAGATAATGAGAAACTGACGAAACGAGTTGCTTACTTTTAACAGCTTTTTCACAAACTAGTTTTCGCACGTAAGCTCCCTTTTCGTAGACCAGGTCACATATAATAATAATAATAACAGATTGAACCCGCAACTGAGGTAGGGCGTTTTAGAACTGGATTTTGAAATAGGGTGTTCTTTAAAAGTTTACTGAGATAGGGCGTTTTCGAACTGGCTACCGAGATAGGTCGATCTTCCACTCAGCAGTCGATATACAGTATCGGTCATATCAATAGCACCAATATTTCCAAGTTGTTGTTGTTGTTGTATCAGCATACGTTCCCCAAAGGGATTTTAGGGAGTGTTGCTGGAGTGACAGTCCTTGGCCAGATATAAATCTGGGTCGTTCCGGTGACGTAGACCCGACTGTCGTGGGAACGAACATTTCCAAGTGATATTGTGTTGGTGTAAAATACAGTTCATTCTCTAGCAAAAGCCATATAAACCCATCGTTTAGGCTATGCAGGAAACTAAGAAAAAATTCAACAAATTTTCATCTAAATTTCAAACTGGTTTCTCGAAGTGTTAGAATTTCTTTGAATATTCGAATGCAAGTCGTTTTTCGAGAGCCAAATCGTATCGAAAATTCACGCCATTGCCTAAAATTTCCAGCACTGTATAGTTTTCGACGATTTTCGTCGTTTACTTATTTCGGCACGACAGTAGACAATGCCAATGTTGTCAAGTCGTACAACTTAGCCTATTTTAGTACTTACGCAATGAGGCTGATAGTTTTATAACATATTAAATTTTTTGAAAAGGAGATGCTATTGATAAGACCGTAACTGTATATGCATATTGAATTTTTACTATACCTAAAATGGGCTACCGCTGTGGTGGAGTGGTTAGCAGTGTGCGCTACCCAGGGTTGGCAATGTTTTAAACACTTGTTTTTTAAAACATGTTTAAAACATATATACTTGTAAAAAACATCAATCGTATAATGAATAGTTATTGTACCTTTCAAGTTTTATTTGCAACATAATACCCATTATCGTATTGAAACTTGTTTAAATATAGGTGATTTTTTCCTATTGTTTTAATCAAGGTTTTAAGCACTTTACGTTTCTTAGTATACAGTTAGAAAATGCTCATGAAATTTTTATATTTCACTCTAGAAATATATTTCCTATGTACCAAATAATTGGTTAATCAACCTGAGACCATTTCAAATTTAAATGAGCTGAAAAAGTATTACCAGCTTCAGTTATCAAGGCAATGAACAGTGGCGATCAAAAATTAGTGAATGTATGACATCTTATTATTTACAGTAACATAACTTTTTTAATAAGCAGATTGCTTTGAAATTTTCTGCAATTGCCAATCCCCTCCTGACCACAGCCTAAAATTTTAAGATCTGGACTTTGAGCTGGCCAATGGATTAGGGGAAAATCTTGCTCAAGCAGCCGGCGGTGTCGAATCTTCTCAGAATGCTTTGGATCCCCATTCTGCTGGCAAACAACTCCTTCCTCAGGGTATGCGCTTTCCCATATTTATTTATTTATTTCGAGTCTATGATTTACAAAATCTTAGACTAAATAACAACATTTAATAAATAAAAATTTGCGAATAGAGTAAATGTTTTTTTTTTTTAATTCTATGCGATTAGCGAATATGTTGACATTATTGTCTTTACATAAAGCATTGAACTCACTCATTACCCTAATAACTGGTTGATTTAGCGCATATTTGGTTATACAAAAATCAATCGCTAACAAATCATGTTGACGAAGAATTCTCATTGGAGCATTGAGTTTAATGAGATCTAAAAGGGCAGGGCAGTCAATTGCTCCACTCAAAGCATTATGTAAGAACATTAGGCCAGAAATAATCCGTCTATTGCGAACTGTATGTAAGCTTATAAGTTTTCAACGCGAAATATATGGAGCAGAAGGGTTTTCAAACCTAATTTGAGCTAGACCGAATTTTACGCCCTTATTCTAGAACCCGAATTTTCGTAATTCGTAATTCGTGGCTACGCTACGAAAAATGAAAAATCCACAGGCTGCAACCCTTGCGGAAACATGTGCAGCATTGCCAGCTATGAGTTGTTTTTCGAAGATAGCTGAATGAAGGAAAACAAAGTGGAAAGGAATTAAAAAAACACTCATCATGTGCTTGTTTATTGTAAAATTGGTTAATTTTACATATTTTGAGGAAAATTATGGATTCTGATGTATTTGCAATTATAGCAGCAGAGTAGGGCGCTATGGCAATGGATTCACAAACGTATGCGGAGCTGTCGGGCATAGTAACGGGCGCATCTATGTCCGCTTTTGGTTGAATTGTTGAACCATAAGCCAGAACTCCTCCTATGCCTGAAGCTCTGGTTCTCAATCCAGTTAATGCAATAACACCTTTTTCCAAGCCATTGAAAACATGCACTATGTTAGGTCCACCACCTGTTGCGCTTACTTCTGCCTTCGGCCGCGCTTAAGGATTATAACCCTTACTAAGTAGAACTTTCCTTTCTGTGTTGCGGGGGGGAGGGGGGGGGGCTTCCGCATGTCAAAGGTATACAACATTTCATGTGCATATCACTCCGGCTACGCCGTCCACAGTATTTTTGCGCAGAACCCACGTCGAAATTTGCAAAAAAAAAAGTGCATAGTGCAAACAGAGTTTATTAATAAGCTAGTGGTAGGAAATTTTAAACATTTATCTTAAATAAAATGTGAATCCTTTGAAAACATGTGTATGTTAAAGTTTTTGGATTCGGGTTATGCGTTTGGATACAACAACCCAATATCGTTGTATATTAACTAAACCGGACCCAAGTTTCTCGATAAGGGGCAACAAATATTCTTTTTTGCTCGCTTATATAAAACAGTGGATAAAAATATACGTATATGCGAAAGGCAAATTTATCTGTTTAAATGAACACCACCAATATTTCTTGCAAACACACATCGATTTACATCTTTTATTTCGCCTCCGACACAGAATT